TGTTGCTTTATCTGTTGACCACAGCTCAATTCAAACACATCCTAGCTTCTTAGACACCGATATGTTGTATACAGTTTCCACTGCAACAACAGCAGCGACTGACCTTTCTGTTGCTTTATCGGTCGACCAAAGCTCAATTCAAACACTTCCTAGCTTCTTAGACAGCGACATATTGCCTACAGTATCCTCTGCAACAACGGCAGCGACTGACGTTTCTGTTGCTTTATCTGTTGACCACAGCTCAATTCAAACACTTCCTAGCTTCTTAGACAGCGACATCTTGTCTACAGTATCCACTGCAACAAAGACAGCGACTGACGTTTCTGTTGCTTTATCTGTTGACCACAGCTCAATTCAAACACTTCATAGCTTCTTAGTCAGCGACATGTTGTCTCCAATATCCACTGCAACAAAGGCAGCGACTGGCGTTTCTGTTGCTCTATCTGTTGACCACAGCTCAATTCAAACATTTCCTAACGTCTTAGACAGTGACATCTTGTCTACAATATCCACTGCAGCAACGGCAGCGACTGGCGTTTTCACCCACACTGAAACATCGAATAATTTCACCCACCTGTCAACAGAAAACATTACCACTACCGCACCGACAATTGGTGAGGGCAATACAACGATTCCAAACACTTATACGACCAGCGTTCCTTCAGAATGTCCACGTGTACCGGAGATACCCCATGCGTCTCACAACACTAACAGCACTGCCATTGGGACTGTGGTAGAATACACCTGTGATGAGGGCTATGCGCTGGTCAGTACGTCAACTTCCGGTGGCATTGAGTGCCTGAACAACGGGACGTGGAGCACCTCCAACGTCCAGTGTGAACGTAAGTACGGCTTGGGTGGATTTTGAAGCTATATGATGGTCGCTGGACCTTTGCATAGCAACATTTTATTTTCCTTGGAAATTTCAACACTTTCTGTTAACCACCCAGGTATACTATATCAAAACCATTGACAAAACTACGATTTACATGTACAAGCAAGTCTTGTTCTAGATTTTCAATCACAATTAGAAACATAAACTCCATAATATTGAACAGATAATAGTTTTTAAACGGTTGTGAACAAAGCGATAAAGTTGAATTCTTTCTACTATTGTGATCTATTGTGACCATTTTCCACATTGAAAGGGCATGTCTATATTATCCAAAAGTTTCATTCATCAGTTAGTAAACACTTTATTATCGATGAAAATTATGTTTCTGAAGCACACTTATCACGTTCGTCTTTTATTTCAGTGATAGTTTGTACAATTCCAAGCGATGTTACCGAGATTACTATTGTCAGCAAACCCGAAATTATTCTGTACAATAAATGGGTAGCATATTCCTGCTTAAACGGCTTCGTTTTCCCCGATGATGACGTTAATCGACGCGTCCGTTGTGTATCTAAGACAAGGTGGATCCCAGACTTTATTGGCTGCAGCAGTGCGTAATTAATCTTATATTTTTGGGGGGCAACACCGATCCCACGTTCTTTTAAAAAGGTCTGCCTTAAATAAACACTATATGCCTATCGTGTTGTGGAAGACAAACAAAGATATGTGAAAGTGCATACAGTACATAGACGGTTGTTATTTTAGATGCCACTGGTCTTATTTTTTATATGCTAAAACATGCATTGCGCTATATATATATATATATATATATATATATATATATATATATACAGTATATAATTAACAGAATGATTAGTTTCTTTGACAAATTTCAGTTTTGTATTTATAATAATAAGTATTATTATTATTATTATTATTTAATTATGTTTCCTGAATGAGTCTTTACTTTTTTCCAGACACCAGTTTAGGTCTTCCTAAATCATCCCGTCGTCTTGGAAACCCCCGCATGGAGGCGCCACTGGCTGGATTCATAGGAACCTTTGGGCTAGCAATAATTGGCACCATTATTGCTTTTATCGTTGCGACTGATATTGCCACAATAAAACAGCATCTGAGACACATGAGAAGAAACCTTAGACTTAAACGACCGACTAGCATTTATAGGAAATCATACAAACAAGAAAAGTTCAACTAAATGAAGGGATTTGGCAAAGCATGTATGTACATGCAATTTCGTTTTTAGGGAACGCTGACGGGGTCTAAATGATCCACAGGGATACTTTCACGGACAGTGATATTAGCTTTCACTAACAGTTAAATGTCAAAAGATCATATCCAAATACTAAATCGAGAATATGCATTATACAAAAAAGCAAAAGCAAAAATGATGATGGAAATAAAAACAGTAAGCAAACAAACTAAATAGAGAAAAGTTGCCATTGACTTTCGTTGCGTGCATTATAGAAAACAGATGGAGTTAATATTTGACAACAATTCAAGGCACTAAGCTTATATAGGGTATTTTGTGTATTATAAAGAGTATCTTTGTTTTATAGGAGAGCAAATTTGGTTCGTGTACATGTAATTGGTGACATAGTGATGGGAAAGGGCATTGTTTAAGTTACAGATGAAGTCAAATCTTTGCAACTCAGCAGACCAAATGCCACTTTTTAGTTTTGCATATGTGTCTTTAACATGTGTGAATTCCATTGTTAAGCAAGAATTGTCTAGTTTCCTCTCAGGTTGCATCCATTTAAGCATAACACGTTTGTGCTTTAAATGTAAACGAACGTCAAGCATATATATATATATATATATATATATATATATATATATATATATATATATATATATAAAGAGAGAGAGAGAGAGAGAGAGAGAGAGTTGTATATACTTGTATTATACCATATGTTTTATTACCTACTCAGTACGGGTATACTTTTGGTATGAAATACAGTGTGTACGTGGTGTTAATTGTAGCAATCTTCTTGACTTCTTGATATGGTTATTGTACATATCCTACTGAAAACAAAACAGGTGAGTATATATGGTATCTTATAGAAAGTTCTCACCACTTTGACTACTCGGATGCAAAAGCACTAGTTTTTTCTCCGCGTGACGTGCGTACACATGTATAGGCCTATAGGGCCACAGCAGTGCAGCCGTTTGTGTAGATTTAAAGAAAATATATCATAATGATATTTAAGATGGAATTTTACGACGTGATCAATGATGATCATATTTTATCAAAATAGTTATACGTAATGCTACGTACAATTTCACTGACTTGCAAAGGACAATTTTTGACAAATAGTCTGAAATGCGGTGCATTTTGTTTTACTCCAAACATGTATATAAATAGACTGCTGCATATTCCAGTTATTCTTGTTTGCTATGTATGAGATTTAACCTATCGCGAATAAAAAAAAGGTTTCTTCAAACAACATCTCTATTAAAATTGATACACGTGTTTTAGATCTGGACTACCCTTGTTATCAGGTGACTTCTTAGAGACCGGATGCACGTTGTTAAACGTAAAAACTTACTTCCTTGAGAACAATTTGCAAGCCAAACCAAGGGCTTCTTCCGTTACATGGAAGCGGAATAAAATAAACATTTGTTAAAAAAGTCAACAAATGTTGGATCAAATATTAACGCAAACAGGTTTTTGTTCTTAATGTGTTACTTAGGATCAATTTTACTTTCTCACGGAGTGACTGTGGGGATATAAAGGTATTGGTTTCTAGCCTCGTTTATGGGGGTGGAAGGTGGAATAGAAACCTGAAAATAAAAACAGTAATCTGCGTGTTCGCTAATTTGGACTCATTTTGGCAAAGCACTGCTTCGCTTACATATTTTTCACCTTCCGACAAGGTAAGTAACTGTAATTTATCTTATTATTTTTTAATATAAATAATTTTCCACTGTCTCTGTTTGAATCTGGTGTAGGCCTTATATATATCCTCAGTTAATAAATCCAGGATTTAGTTTATAGTTGTTAATTTAATAACTAATTTTTTCATACTGAAACTGCATGCTTTTTATGTAGGGTCGTACTTGAGTTATTATAAATGTATCTAAAATTCTTCGTATTTTTTTCAACGTATTTTCAACGTATTTTTTTTTTTTTTTTTTTTTGTGTTTTAGTGCATTTCAAAGTATGTGTGCATCACTAGAATTATAAATAAATAAGACTGAAAACGCAACTGTTAAGATCAACTATAAATGAAAGCGCCCGAGCTTTAGGCTGGTGTGTCGTCTTCTAAAACTAATAAATAAATAAATATATAAAGCCTTGTTTTTATTCCCTGAAGAAGGCACACATGCCTAAAGCTCGGGGGCTTTAAACCAATTATAGTTTATCTTTATAGACGCGCTTACAATTTAATTAATTTATTTCTTGAACGAGATCAACATGGTGATTTATGATGGATCTTCGAAGCATTATAAGTGATTTCTCGTGACCATATTTAGCACCAAAACCATAGAAACGAAAGCGGAAGTCATTGCCTTCAGTTGTAT